AATTTAATGAACATAAGGACTGACAAGGTTATCAAATAACTAAGAAATTGGGACTATTCTCTGGGTTTTCTATTCTAGACGGGGCAAGATTTTCTTAGCCAAAGAATATTTCTGTTCAGCACCTAGACTCTAGGAAGGTGGCGTAGGACTTATAGCAATGAACTTGTCTACTGAAGGGCTTTGAGCTTCACCCTTAGGCTGAAAGGAACCATGGATGGGACGGTCTTTCTGCAGGACAATGCCATGAAGAGCACAATGCTCATGGAAGTCAAAAATGTAATGAAAACAATGTAAGCACCTTGATCCTCTGAAGCTCTCTTTCAGCAGCAGGTAAACAGAGCATACAGGGAAACTACCAAAGTTGGTAAGTTCTTGAGCTGCATATTTTTCCAAAATAATTCAAAGCCTGTTTAAGAGCCACACTTGAATCGTGCAAGAAGATAATGCTGAAATCAACAAAAAGTATAGGCATATGGGAATTAGACAATGTGTATAAAGACAGGCATTAAAGGGATCCCCATAATTTTTTCAAAAGGATCAAGAGTAGGTTAAATTAACAAGTGAGCTAAACTGTACTACTACATATAATCAACATGAATGGACCAGCTAATATCAGAAAAGCACAAACACTTAGTGTTTTACAAGCAAGAAAGAGGCCACTGCTAACACATGCACACTTCATGAGGCAAGGCTTGGTGAGCAGAGGGAGGCAGAATTTAAGTCTTCACTTACTCCCTTGGCCAGATGCTATTCTGTGTGGTACAACCGCACAACCTATACCAAAACCCTATCTTCAGGAGAGTGTCAGAGAAATGCAGAGAATGGAAAAAATAATACGTATTCAAACCTCATATCTAACTCCAAGAGAACCTTAAAGCAATCAATCTTCTTTAAATAAGAAAGAAACTAAGTCAATAGCATCTGAGCAACAGATGAGAATTAAAGCAAAATCTGTTGGCTAATGGTAACAGCTTTGTGTTCTTTGTTGTTGAAAATGTGCATGTAGCAGCAACTCCAATATGCTCACAAACTCAGATGCAAAAGGCTATGGAAAACAGTTGCTATTTTTACACTGAAGATAAAACCAAGCACCACCTTTCAGATCTTAATTTTGCTAAAATAGTGGAAGAAAACAAAACTGAAGGTGTTGGGTGTCTAAATAATCCAGGTCCTGTGATTTCTACTATGGGTAAATACAGAGTGTATTGGA